AAATGTAAAAGCCTGTTCCAGTTCTGTCATGACTTCTGTATGAATTTTAATTTGACTAATCCTGAAAGACGTGTGTGGGGAGGAGAGTGTGAAAGTTACTGTCCCTTTCAGACAGACAGACACACGCTCTACAGACAGTGTTAATGTTTAAATGTTAAAGCCTGCATTTAAGTTAAACATTTGATGCTGGGACCAAAAAATCCTTTGTTTAAGTGAAGAACATCTGGTTGGCCTTTAATTGTGCAAAAGGCATCTGACTGTGATAGGATCTTAAATTTGTCAGTCAAGCCTTTGTTGGTGTTATAACTGCAAATAATTCATCAAATGAACAATTATAATTATTACAATTGGCACAGAGAGAGGTGAAATTGGGACCTTTAGATTGTTTTGCTGATACTATCTGACATTTAGGAAGATTTATTGGCAGAAATGGAGTATTATAGGACATACATTTAAAATATTTTTCCCTTGACTTCAATACAAGTCAGAGGTTCCTTGAAGCCAAGATGGAAAGGCCTTTAGTAAAGTAGACTAACTGCAACACATTGTCTCATTGTGGTTGCTGCTTCATTTGAACCTCTCTTATTGTTCAATATATAACCACACAAGTCCTGAGTCCTGTGGTTCTGTCTGTCCTCCTCTCTCTGTCTGCTGCTAAATAAAACAGTTAATAGCTATTGAAGCCATAATTGTTAAGAAAGGTGTGTGAAAGAGGGAGAGTAAGCGAGAGAAACACTGATCAAACACATGCACTAATATATTATTTAAATATTCCCATTCAATCCCATTCCCAAAGATGTTATAAAACACTTGTATCCAACACAATGCAACAGTTCCAACATTATTGAATCTTAACTATGGCACACATGCTACTTGTGCTTGTCTTCTTTGACTTTTTTTCTGTAGTTTGACCTCTTACAGTATTCTATACTCTATACTGTATGTTCTATCATTTCTTGCATTTGCACTCTTGCACTCTTTACTATCAAAGTGTTGACACATCTCTTTCAAGTGTAGCGTCTTCATAAGTAATTCTCTTTTTCCTTCCTTACTCCTATCTTCCTTCATTCTCAGAGGAGGAGCTGAGTGTGTCTTAGAGGGATCAATCCCCAGACACACATCACTGCTTCTCCTCTTATCTTTTTCCCCCTCTCCTTTCTTTCTCCTCCATCTGTCTTATCCGACTTTTATTGTCAGTGGTTGGATGTCAGCACATATCTATCCAAGACTTGGTTGCACAGGCAGCTCTTTGATTGTCAGACTGTGGCATATTGCTGGTTCCTGTTGAAACCTACTGTCAAATAAGCCTTTTATTTTATTTTTTATTTT